ATGTCATGATCACCTTCCCTGGAAAGCTTCCCAAACATCCCTAGGACAGCCTGGCAGCCTAGTCTGGCAGTGGGGTGACTCTGCTTCAGTCTAGGTCATTCTAAAATGGGAATCAAAATGGGACCTTAAATCTCCGAGCTGTGGGAACAATGAGGAGCCGCCTCTGCTCAGTGGCCTCGGATGACCCCCGACACCACTGCATTTTCTAGGACAGGTACTAGTCAACGCAGGCAGCTCTGGGAAGATGGCAAGGACAGCTGACGTCCAGGGGCTGGTCCTGGACTGCGGGCTTTGCTTTACATGCGACCTCCTCCCGTTGGGCCCCCATACACAAGGCCACTCACCTCAGAGGAACCCTAAGCTTGGGCGTCTCACCTCTGCACTCCGGCCTTCCCCAGCAATCAGCCTCCCCGCAGCCTCCAGGCCACTCCTCCCTCACCTTCACTGTCACCCTCCTCCCTCAGAGGCACTAAGGACCCGCTCTTTGATTTGGTTTCTACAGCCTCCTTCATTCCACCACTATCTAGTCAGATCAACAGCAATATCTTGAGTGCTGCCTCCTCGCCGTCTTTTAAAATTCTTGGCTGTTTGGGAATTAGTTGGGCAGCCGTGTCAACGGTACCCCACAATCCTTCATTCACCACGTCAGTGCCCTTTGTGATCCCACAGAGGAGCTGGTGAGCCAGAGGGATTTGATGACAGTAACGGAGTGAATGTTCTTTCCCTCATGTAGAGAGAAACTGGGAGCACATAACTTAGAGGAAAGAATGCTGTACGGGGGTGGCGGGGGGGCTGGGAAGAGATCAACCAAAGAACTATTATGCATATATGCAAAACCCATGGACACAGACAACAGTGTGGGGAAGGCCTGGGGGGCGGAGACGGAGGGGGTCAGTGGGGGGAAAAGGGGGAACATCTGTAATACTTTCAAAAATAAAGATAAAGTTTAAAAAAGAAAGCTGCACAATGGAGGGGTGAGGTGCTTCCTCGCCTTCCCGGACCCTCCTCCGCGCTACATGCAAACAACACAACACTTCGGGAGCTCAGGGGTTTTCCTTTGCCCAAGAGAATAGTGACATGTCACGGTTTTTGTGTCCAGTTTTTTTTTTAATTCTAGAGATAGTTGCTAATTCAGCTCCAATAAATCAAGCCAAGTCCCTTTCTAGTTGGTTAGTTCACAAGAAGGGGGAAATAATTGGGAGGCAATTATTTGCAGTTTTTAAAAATTATTTAACTAATAACTAGACTTTTATAAAAAGTATAAAAGTAGGTACACCTATGAGACCAAATGTGAAACTATATTTAACACTGAGCTTTCCAGGTTGTTGTCTGCAGTGGGCAGATTCACACGCGGCAGAGACAGAAAAGAGAGTTCTGCGTGTGTAAGGCAAACACCGACAGCGACTATAGGGACATGTGCCCGGCGCTATGTGATGGGCCAGGCGGTGAGACATCTTCATATGCCGGTGCCACCACCACACGGCGTCTCACCTTCCTTTAGTGACTTAGATAAAACAGTAGATGCAAAAATCCTTTACAGAAGTCCTGTGCCCACTCCCTGCCACCTACCCATAAAATCCCAACAACCCGGTGAAGGACTCGGGCTGCTCAACCAGTCTACGCACCAGGCATTCCCACGGCTCAGAGAAGCCCGCGTACTGCTCATGCCTGGGATGCACTAGGCCAGCGGTTCTCAACCTGTGGGTCGCGACCCCTTTGGGGGTCGAACGACCCTTTCACGGGGGTTGTCTAAGACCATCGGAAAACACATATATAATTACATATTGTTTTTGTGATTAATCACTATGCTTTAATTATGTTCAATTTTTTTAAATATATATTTTATTGATTTTTTACAGAGAGGAAGGGAGAGGGATAGAGAGTTAGAAACATCGATGAAAGAGAAGCATCAATCAGCTGCCTCCTGCACACTCCCCACTGGGGATGTGCCCGCAACCAAGGTACATGCCCTTGACCAGAATCGAACCTGGGACCCTTCAGTCCCCAGGTCGACGCTCTACCCATGAGCCAAACTGGCTAGGGCATGTTCAATTTTTAACAATGACAATAGAGAGGAGACCAA